CTCTCTTCCACCCCTCCCCACGCTTCCCATTCATCTCACCCTCAGCGCACAATTCTAGAAATCCCCATCAATCCGAAATTGTGAAATTACTCAAACCACATTTGATTTCCTGGCGGCAGGTGCTGTACGAGCAGATGCCCGTCATCTACATTTACGCCATCAACACGACGGCCGGCAAGGACCCCAAGCTGTACGAGTGCCCCATCTACCGCAAGCCCCAGCGCACGGACCAGAAGTACGTCGGCTCCATCGACTTCGAGACGGACAACAACCCGCGGCACTGGACCCTCCGCGGCGTCGCGCTCCTGTGCGACATCAAGTAGGACTCCACCGGCGCGGGAGACCGGAAGCGCGCCCCCCCTTTGACTGTGATATCCAGATTGCTAACTTATTTCCGTTTAACTTCTATTCCATTGTTTCATTGTTATCAATTTTATTTCAGTTGAATGTGTTGAATGTTGAATGTGTGAGATTCACATGTCTTGTTATCGCCGTAAGAAATTTAACAATAAAAATTTCTTTCCCGATTGAATGAACTGAACGATCTCTAAGAGTACGCCCTGGCCGCGGCGTCGACGCCGCCGGCCATCCCCGCGACGGACATGGCTCTGGCCAGCTGCTTCACTGCACGGGGGAATGTTGTTTACTCGTGACCTGGCGGCCGGGGCGGGGCGGGGCGGGGCGGGGTGGCTGCAATGCCCATACGTCCCCACCCCGCAGCTGTTCATGAGCTGCATCCTTCGAGGAACACCCCGGGCGCTGCGCTGCGTGGTCGACGCCAACCACACAGCAGCAGCAGCCTGCCCCGGCCCGGCCAACCCCGACGCGCAAGGTGCCCCATTTCGATCGGAGCGCGCTGCCGGCGCCGCGGCCCCTCCGCCGCGCCTCGCCTCGCCGGCCGCTTGGCGTCGATCACGTCCATCACCCGGGCCTTCCCGGGCCGCGCCGAAGAAGGCCCGGGCACACTAGTCGGGGGCGGCATCGCGACTCGAAGTATGAATATGGAGGCGTCGGGGTGCAGCGGCGTGAGAAAGGGAGATTGCTCTCGCTCGCTCTGTGCTCGGGCTGCCATGTGTGGCGGCGGGGCGGGGCGGGGCGGGGTAGGGGTGCATGATGGGCCATGGGACGAGAGCTGATGGCCCCCGCTTGGCTGCGGCTCGGCTCGGGTGCACGGCTTGTAGTACGGCAACACGGTCCAGAGTAAACAATGTAAAAACTATACCCGGTCGGCTCGCGGCCCTGCTCGGCCCCGCTCAGCCCTGTGCAGTGCACAGCCCCCCGGCCCGGAGGGCCATCGCCTGCTCACAGGTTGGGGCCACCCACGTTGCGTGGCGCACCGCCCGCCCGCCCGCCCCTCAGCGCGGTGCAGCCCGGGTGTGAGGGGTGGCGCGTTGCGGCACTCGCAAACCGGGCTGAGAAGGGACGGCGGGAATCGAGCAAGCTGAACGCACCGGGAGTTTCTTTGAATGCGCTTCAGTGTCGCGGGTTTTTGCCTACTGAGTATGCACGCCCACAACACTGGAACGCATCTAAAGATACACACGACGGATTCGCAAAAATTTTAACGGAGCGTTTTCGAAGAACGGGAGAACTACGAGAGGAAGGGGGGCGGGGAGTGAGGATTGCGGCCGAGTGGTGAAGGGGAGGGGGGCGGGGGAGTTGATAGGGTGATTTAGGAGCCTGAAGACGGGGCCAAGGGGGCAGGGCGTTAGTGATGAGGGGGTGGGGATGAGTCTGGGGGAAAGGAGAGAGAGAGAGCAAGAGAGAGGGGGAGACAGAGAGAGAACCAGGGAGAGAGGAAGAGAAATGTGCCGAAGCGAGGAAACAGGCGTGGGCGTTGGAGGGCCCGCGCCCCCGCCTGCTCCCCGCCCAGCTTCCCCGCCTCCTCCTTTTCCCTGATCCGGCGTGGCTCGCCTCGCCCCTGGCTGCTTGTGTGTTTAGCTAATTTTAACCCTTTGGCTCATCATTGGCTGGCGCCTCCCCCGCCCCGTGCGGGCCTGCCCGCGGACCTTGGCCAGGGCGCCGCCGGCGGGCGCCGGCCACATACTTTGGCGCGGTGTCCTTTCGGGCACATCTGGGGAAGCTGCGCCCCGGCGTGGCGGACCCCCCTCGGCACGATTGGGAACTTTGAAACGTCCTGCCGTTTCCGCCGTCATTCCCTGAAAACTTCGGTCTCACGGCCCGCAACACCGTGTAACTTCTCCAACTTCTAACAACAGAAATACCGCTGCTGCAGCTTTTTCTGTGCGACCCGGTTGACCGGAGGGAGAGATGGGAGAGGGGGCTCCAATCGGCCGCACTGTGTGGCCGGGGTGGCCGGCGTGGCCGGGCCCCCTCCTTTGACGGCCTTACCGCGTCGATATGCCGTCAGACTGACGGGTCGGGGCGGCCCAGGCCTCACTGCGATGATGCACCTTTACTTTGAGGCGCTCAAAGGAGAGCGAGCCGTCATGGCCGAGGGCGATCGGCCGGCACGGGCGCCGCGCCACTGCGGTGCCGGCGACATGTTTACTCAGTGTACCCCCCTCCTCCCCCTCCTCTGCACCCCGCCCTCCCCGCCTCCTCGCTTCTGGAGCACACGCTGACTGACTATACACGGGGGGAGGACTGGGTGCAAGGTTCAACTTCAATAATAAATCGAGTTCAGGAGACTGCGTGTTCATGGCGAACTTATGCGAGGTGGACTGGAGCAACCCATACTCCCGGATGACGCAGTCAGGCCTCGGTCGGCCCACCCCCTGCGGTCAGCCGGTGCTGCTTCCTCCGAGAGTTGGTGGCAACTGGACGCACCAATATCTCGCCCTTCAAAAAATTCCCAACACATCACATTTTCTTATTGACAAGAGCACCTTTAAAGGCTTTCGTTTTGTGGTTTAGATATTCAAGTATACATCGAAGTTTTTATAGTTTTTGGTATAGCTAATAATGGACGTCATATATGGCTGGATGTTATACTTTCCGAAATCCCTCGTCCCTGCCACTGCACAAGTTCGTGGTGTAGGTCGTTATCGCCTCTTCTTCATCGGACCGGGGCGCAGGCGTTCAAAAGCCAAGAGAAGGGGGCAGGGGGGGGGGGTGGAGTAGTTCGATTGGCCTGCATCGTCGAGAAGAACACGGTCCCTCTGTCGTGCAGCAGCGCCATGTAGGGGGAAGTGAGTCGTCCGTCTGGGCTGCAAGAGTCAAGTGGCGCGCCGGGCGTCCCGTCCCCCAGCTCGTCCTCTTGAACTGCAACGCATGGCCGCGATGCAGCACCAGCACCGACACACACTCACACACACACACATATGTGCACACACACACACACACACACACACACACACACACACACACACACACACACACACACCACCCCGCCCACCCAACCCAGAAAGGCTTGGGCCGCGAGCCGCGCACGTCACGGGCGGACGAGTTACCATCAATTAGCGGCAACACGCCGTGCATCGCATCCTTCAGCACTCTCCCTCCCCC